GGTAACTGCAAAGACTCCCTTTTGTGCTTCGCACACGAGAGTCAAAAACATTGCGACCCTTTGGGTATTTGGAGTTCAAGATAGATGCATGAACAAATTAATCGCAAACGAGAGGGTTTGTTAAGCCTCAAAATACAATTGTGAATACAGCACTAATTGGAGTCTGTATTTCTTTGAAATTCTGTCAATTGAGGCAATTTTACAAATAGCAACATTAGCCAAGGGAAAAAAATGCATGGTTCCTTTTATCTAACCTACCATAGTTTTACTGCCTGACTCTAAACTTTTAAGAAAACGTCACAAAATTGCTAATACTTGTAAACAAATACATATTTATATGACCTGCTAAAAACTATAATGTGATGACACATTTGTGGATGCTCAATTTTGAGAAAGTCAAAATATCTCGATGCCACATTTCTCTCAGAAAAGTAGGAATTTTGACATTGAACTATAAACAAGAGTCCTGACAGTCAAAATAGTTCTGCTGTTTCAGCTGTTTCCCCAATGAACAGAAGGAACTAATCTAATAGAAATACATCCAAGGTATCTACATACTATGTAATTCACTATTTGCTAGATAACCGTATGATCACCCCAACATCAATCTCAGAACAGTACGGGAGTGAGCGTAGTTCACGCCCTAGTTGAAATAGGAAGTACTAGTATTACAGATATTATTATAGCCATTCCATATTGAAAAGTATGTTTTTGTTCATATATGAAACACGTCAAAGGAGATGTATGCATACAACGTGTATGTTCAATATATTCGCTCAATCCAATAAGTGTAAAAGTTAGGAAGTTTACTGCTGACCATTTAGCAAGTGGCGAAAATAACAACCTGTTACGAACGCTCTACCACCGTACCGGTCTCTCACCTGTTTTTGCGACACATGTCAGCAGCCCCGTCAGAACTCTCCCTCTTTCTTTTGTACTGGAGCTGGTGGCTTTCACGGAAAATTCTTTCAAAACTTCTAAAACCTGCAACATTGAACAGCACAATAGTATTACTTCGCGTGCATAAATTCTGGTTAACGTTTCGGAATTAATGAAAAATCATAGGAAAAAGCATGTCTACCTTGCTGTCGGCCGCCATGTTGGTTGTGCAATAACCGATACTTGCCGATTACGCGAGAGCCACAAAATGGCTGAATTTATACAATATATTATAAATATTATGAACCAATCATTTCAAATAACAGTTTGAAGGCAAAATATGTACAATTAACAAAATTAATAATGATGCCTTTGCTATTTTATTGAAATTCCCGGAACTCCCCGAACATACCGGAAGTGCCAACAAACAATTTAGCCCCCCTAAGCTAGGCATTTATAATCAGAACAGTACCTCTAAGTTAGCACTTGTTTAGTGTTGTAGTATCACATAGCGTTCGTCCTTTTTCATGAAATTGTAAGGTTACAATAAGCAGATCTGAGTTATGCACTTGTTTGTTTGTTCGTTTGTTTATTTGTTAAAATGTTTGCTCCATACAGTTTTACAAAACTTTGAGAATTTTCTTGTGAGGTCTTGAAGTGCGCCGCCACATTGTGTATTGGGGATGAACTTAAAGAAAAACAGAGGTTCGGGCCCGGGTTTTTGTCGTGTCCAAGATGTCATTTGGGATTAAACAAACTTGGAAGAGGTGAGTAAAGGGGATAGCTAGTGCAGGTTACAGTAAATAAAAACGGAATTTTGCGTTTTTACAGAAAATAAAATTAAAGTTCCATTTACAGTAAAAAATTGTTTTGACAATTTTACAGAAAAAGCAAATTCCTAATTACATTTTTATGATATTTTTGATAATTTGTGTTTAAGAATCAAAATTGTAAATTGCGTACGAATTACGACATTTAATTTGAAAAATGCTTTATACGCTTACAAAAATAATATCTTTGTACAAATTTTGGACGAATAAAATAGCTGATTACATTTTTGCTCATGTTTACGAATTTACGTTTTTTATTTATTTAAATTACATTATCACGAAAATAAAAACAATTGATTACAGCTTACGAAAATACCCCTTGCTGACCCCCTTGGAAGCGATCTGATTTAAAGTTTGTGCTTTTTTAATGTATATATTGTTATTTTTTTAAACATGTATCTAACTATTTTTTCATATATTTTATTTTATCATTAATACCAGTAGTTTGCAAAGATATTTGTAATAACGAAATCCCACAATAAAACAAAATAAGACGTGTGAGATAAAAATAGCAACAAAACGATAAATATTAAGAAATTAACATGAAAATGTAAAAAATACGCTGTGATTTGAATCCGATGTGGATTTCACGTCCTAATTTCTAGGAATTGTTTCGCTTCTGAGGGCGTGAATAATGACGTCAGTGATATACGTTGATAGATACACCTTTGGGTTTGTAATAATCTGTGCCATTATAGGACGAGTATTTTTAGCATTTAGGAGAAGTTTTCATTCACTGTTGTTTAGGAATGTTGCAACACAAATGCTTCATTTGGTATTATACGTTGTGTATCTTCACCACTCACTCCATTCGTCCCGGTCACATGGTCTGCCGTGCCAAATAAATGAGTCGATCGAGTTGTTATATTTAATATACACTTATTATACCGCCCCCTGGTGGCCGTTATTGGCCGAAACCAAAAACAATAACAATTTAACGCAGTCACAATGTAAAATATAAATCTAATTTTAGAAAAACATTTAAAAGTGTCAAACATCATTATATTGTCTGCAACAATCTAAGTGTCCCGGATGTTATGACATCAGAGACCATTAACAAACAGAAGAAATACGCTGGGAGAGACCAATGTAAATATTTATCAAATGATCGTATGACCGCTTTTGACCAAAGATATTGCCTGTCTGATACTTGAATATAATAATTATATGTAATATGTTTTCTATGAGATATGGGTTATGTGAGATTGGAGCTCCATGATATATGTGAATGATTGCACGTTGGAACTTATAATTCAACGACAAATTACTATTATATTCTATATTGGGAGGTATTGCTATTTTACAACTATCTTTAATTTTGATTCATATCGAACAACAACCCTTGGAAGAGCTGAAAGGGTTACAATATAGAATAATTCTAAACTCTTAATTTCAATAAAATGAAATTATATAAGTGGGTGGTTTTTTTAGTTCAAAACAAATACTTAAATTTTTGTCAAGATGCATAATGAAAATACTGAAAATTGTGGCTGCATTTTCATCCTGGCTTCAATTGAATTGTTTGACAGACAATACAAAATTAGTTTCGCCTTTAATGTGTTCGGAATCGCAAATATCCCCTGTTTTCTCATCAACGGAGATTTTACTCTGACTTGACGTTCTATATTATCATTATTAATAATTGGACGGTTGTTTTGAATTCTATGTATTTTTATTTTTGTGGGCATTTTCTGACGTGAACAAATCTGACAGAGGTCCCCCAAGGCACCTACATACTATGTATCAAAGTAATTGAGCTGGTAGTTTTCAAGAAGATAAAATTGTAATTACATTGTTCGGGGACAGACGGACAACAACGGCTCTGTCATCGTTTCCAACTGCTTTGTTAAAAAAAGAGTTTTTAAAGTTCTCTTAAAATTATTGTTATTGTTAGACTGGAGAATGGAGAGCAGTTTCGCCAGCAAAGGCTTGTTAATTCGGTCGTAGCTTCACCGTTCGTGGGGACGGTCGTGGATAGTCGGCTCCAGCGATACCATGTAAATCGGTTCATATCAAAAATGTGGCTTAGTTGCCCTAAGAAAACAAGCCGTACATTTTCCCGGTATATTTTGAATGTTATCATTTTAGTAGAAGGATCAGCGTTAGATGACATGAGACACAGTCCCTCAACAAGGACGCAAAGTAAGCACTTACAAATCTGATTGTGAACTCCAAGATTGCGGGCTAATTTCAGCTATCCGTGCAGGAGCGAATTCTAGTATGTGAGAAATATTACCTACTTCTTTGTAACCAAATTACAGTTGTCATATACAATACTTGACGAAAATGACGTGTTACAATCATGATTGGATGTGAACAATTATTGTATATTAGTAGGATACATGAACTGCCTTCAACACTATAGTCTTTGGTTCAACACAACACAATTTTCCTGAAAATACAATTGAAGAAATACATAATAAACAACCCAGAAAAAAACGACCACACCTGAATATTATAGGCCGAGCTTAGTACTAGTATTTTAATTTGACCATGGATGTACATCCATGATTTGACTGATTATTCAACAACAACAACAACAACAACAACAACAACAACTGTCAATCATGTAATAAGTAGTATTGTAGTCCAATAAGATAGTCATGTAGTCCAATAAGATAGTCGACGTCTGCACTTATCTCTTGTTTATGTGTATAGCTACTTATCTAAGCTGTGAAAAGTAACATAAACAATTCGTTTCTGCAGCTTGTTGAAATCCGAATTCCAGTCGAGTACATCACGGCAAGGTTACTAAAAAAGAACCTAATAACCATGGGTATATGCATATTTCCTGCTAGAGTGACGTGCTCTGTGCTGCAATGTTCAATAAATATATTCATAAATATAAACCACGTTGCGTAAATATATATTTCTGGCTGTATTTTGTTCTATTATAACTCTAAACCTCTGAACGATCGGTTGTTGTCCATTCTCGGCTGGCTTGCAAAGTGTTGACACTGTTACTACTAGTAACCATGGTTTTGAGGATCACAATACCGTGAATGGACACCACGATATGTGAATGCAGTTCATAGCATAGGTTACAGGTAATACAATATGAATTTGATATGAATAAAAATTTGGATCATCCGCAACAGGGGAGAACGAGGAAGACACGACCGTGACGCGATCTGGACGGAAAACCAAGACGTGGAACACTCGCATGTTTTAATTTAGTTATAACGTTTTTTGTATTTTTAGTAAGTACAAAAATGTAATTTAAATATTTAATTAATAAAATAAATAACAAATAGAAAATACAAATTTTGAACCACTTAAATTCTCTGAAAAATGTATTGCTGTCTCTTTACATGAGACTCGTAATTCTTATAGTATGTAGCCAGACAAGTTCGCGTGAGTTGCGCCCTCTGTGGTGCTCCAAACTCAAGTAAGGTTAGTGAGGTCTGATCCCGTTCGGCCGGCGAAGGTGCCACTCATGTCAGGTTGGCAGGAACATCTATTTTTGAAAACTTAGCTTGAGGCGTATGTCAAAGCTGGGTAAGAGTATGTGAAAAAAATGAATTGTACCCCCCCCCCCCACATACACAACTGTTTATAATTGCATTGTCTACTACAGAAGAACACGTCCCGCCATCCTTATATATTATGAATATCGCATAACACACTATTTAACCTCTCTGTACTGGTTCTTACAAGGTGAAGGATGTATTATGCGATGAATATTGATTATTCTCGTAATTTTAAGAACAACGATCCATTATGGGTGGTCACGGCTGACACTCAACACACAGAAATTGATCAAAAATAATCTTTCGATGTCTAAAAATTGGACTTTAAGTTGAAACATCATGCGTATAGTTTTATATCACCTGCGATCAGTGAAAGATTAGATTTAATGCGATATTTTATTATCTCCCCGGTAATATTTCCACTTTCGATGACGTTTTGTATCAAATCCTATTATCGACATGTACACCCCTCGTAGCACTGGTTCTTCTGATAAATTAACCGTGTCCACATGTGCGTTTTGGCCGACTTCCAAGCAGTGTAATGGGAATCATCAGTCCCCTGACCAATGGCATGACTGACATGGTTCAGCAAGCAGCCATACAACATATTTATATTAGCATTAAAGTAGCACATATCGCCAGATTTCACCACGGCTTTTACAATATCACGTACCATTTGTTTTTATAATGATTACAAGTTTTCGTGTGATGAAAAAATCATATGTAGATATAATATTGTTAGTTCTGGTTTGCCCGAATTATTGGGACATTTTTAGACTTGCGTAAGTTACATTTTGTACTGGGAAAGT